ATCAAATACTGCCTGATCACACATGTAAAAAGACTACTGATACCACAGAAAACGACAGCTATCACACTAATAAAGATATACACTCATAATAAAACGTATCTAATAAACGACTATGTCAGCTGAATTGATCAATGTAGATGATAATCAAACAATCACAAGCATTCACACACGCACACACATACACACACGCACACACACATACACACGCACGCACACACATACACACACGCACACACATACACACACGCACACACACACATTCATACACACACACATTCATACACATGAAGCGTTTACACGAAGCGTTCAGTGTGACACACCTAGCCTTCATGCCATGATGCAACAAGAACAAACCACGCCCACTCATCATCGCCATCTCCACCATCCACACCACCGCCGCCCACCACGCCAGGCGGCGGCAGGGGATTATGAGCTGCTGTTTACGCTGACCAAAGAGGGAAAGGTGTACATTCAACTCCTGGCAGAACCTGCTGTCCCGCAATGGGTGAGTACACGCGCTGTGCCTTCTTGTTCTTGCGCTGTGCCGTGTCGTGATCATCCTGCGCTGTGAAGCCACCACATGCCTGCGTCTTTGGATCGTTGAAGCTGTTGACTAAACCATCGCTTCATTCCCTGCTCCTATTTCATGAACACTGTCGCCATGAATGCGCAGACTACTGACAGCGAATATGTGCCAGACGTCTTCACACTCGAGGTGTGTGCACGCGTGAATGGTTGTGTATATGTTGTGCGTGGGTGTACTGTGTTGGTACCTGAATCGTGACACTGCGCAGCTATCTGCTGCCATTGCTGCCAATCTTTTCTGTGCCCCGTGCGGCTCAACACCAACACCAACACCAACACTACCAACACCAACACCACCCAACTGCGCCACACTGCACCACACTGCACCAACCCAAGGTTGTTGATCTTCAACTGCCATCATCGACAGGCACATATGCGCTGGCGTATGTCGAGCAGTACTGCAGCGTCGTCGTCTGGTCAGTGGTCAACACGCACGCAGAGTGGGCGCGAGAGCAAAGGGGTGCCTTGCATGCAGACACACACACACGCACACACACTCACACGCACACTTACGCATGCACAAACACACACTCTCGCACTCACAAACATACACACACTCTCACGGTCTTCAGGCATTCCTTTGGCATTCACATTGTGAACTTGAAGCCATACTATGACAAAATACTCCTTTCGGAGGTCAGTGTAAACAAACACACACACACACACTCGCACCCACAAACACACACACATGCGCGCACGCACACACACACGCACGCACGCATGCGCGCACACACGCATGCACACAACAGCCACCAAACAATGAGCAATCATCAACACACATGGTCACAAACCCAAACAATCGTGCGTGCACATTCTTGTCTGCTCATGTTGTTTGCATCGCGTGGGTCCACAGCTGTCTGATCTCGAGACGATCAAATCTGACATTCACCCTCTCCTTCAACACGAGCAAAGCGACAGGTGTGCGCATGTGTGTGTACACCGGAGTCTCTGTGTATATATGTGTATCTGTGTGTGTGTGTGTGTGTGTGTGTGTGTGTGTGTGTGTGTGTGTGTGTGTGTGTGTGTTGACTTTGACAGCGTGTTTGGGTCCTGCAACTGCGACCCCTTCGCACAATTAAACCCCACGACCATCATCACCACCACCACCACCATGATGCAGCCGCCAGCTGGTAGGCCACAGCGTGTGGGTGCGTGCATCGGGCATCAACACCGTTCTCCTGCACAGCGTTGACAGCGGGCGGGCATGCGATGTTGCCATCCGCCCGCTCCGCCTCCTCGTTGCAGCCCCTGTTCCCGCCTCGTCCCACCCAGCATTCGGCGTTTCCAATGTACGCGCGGCCTTGACACTCGTCGTTCTCATCGCCATCACCATCGCCACCCAAACTGCTGCTGCTCCTGCTGCAGTGCCCGCCCTTGCTCTGTTACTGTGCTGCTGTGCTGCTGTGTTACTGTGCTGCTGTGGCGTTGGCGTTTGCATTGTTCAGGGTTGTTGCCGCTTGGTGCGCACACGTTTGCACTGGTGTCACGGCGCAGTTGTTGTACTTTTGTCCTCAGCCCTTAACATCTTTGTGCTTCTGCGTGCGTTTGCGTGTATGTGACTTGTGTGTGTGTGTGTGTGTGCTTGACAGGAGATGTCGAAGGTATGGAGGCAAGACGATGAGATGATGTCTGAATTCGCCAATCTCCGTGTGCCGACACTGTAAGACCTACAAACACGGTCATGCGCATACGATTACATGCATGCATGCAGTTGTTGTCTTTCCATCCGTGTTTGCTGCCACGCATCCCTTTGTCGCTGTCCATTGCCTTACATACAACACATGTACAACCTCCAAATCACACGCCACATTCATCGCGCGAATATACAACACCATGCATGCGTGTGTGTGCTGCGTGCAGGCCCAAACCGCCCAAGACGGTTGAGGCGACGGCGCTGCTGGTGCACAAGGTCATCACCACGGTGCACGCGTCGGTGCTGCCCACAATCGAAAAGTCAAAGGCGGTTCTGCAGAAGCGCCGCGCATTCAACGACGCTCTCCTCGCAAAGCTCAAGCGCTACGTGCAGGCACAACGTGCGCACTGACTATGCACCTGCGTGCCTGTGCATGCAATAGAGAGGGGGAGAGAGAGTGTGTGTGTATGAGTGTCTATGCATGTGGTGCTAGGATCTGCGCGTGCCTGCGTTGTTGTGGGAGGGTGATGATGAACGCAAATCGCTGACTTGTCTTTCGCTTTGACTCGACACGATAGGGGAGCGCCTTGAGTCCGTGTTGGCGGAGCAGGAACGACTGCACAAAAACATGACCCTGCTCGCCCTCCAAATGGTACGCGCGCTTGTATGCATGCGCGTGTGTGTGCGTGTATGTGTGTGTGTCTGCGTATGTGTATTTGTATGTGTGTGCGTATGTGTGTTTGTCACGTGATGATGCCATTCTCCCATTCTGCGCCTGTTTGTTGAACTGCCAACCACTTTTCTTCTCTCCATCTTTCGCCCCACCACCCTCACCGCACTCCCACACCACCACCACCATCACCACCACCACCACCACCGCCGCCGCCGCCACCGCCATGACTACTTGCAGGACCTGCATGTTGACCGAGCAGAGGTCATCTTCCACGATCTGAATGCGCGCACGCCTGCGTTGAGTGACGAGGAGCGAGCCATGAAGAAGCGGTTGGAGCAGCTGAACGCGACGTCTAAGACGCTGTGGCGCCACGTCGACCAGCTCAAGCAGCGCGCACACAGGGCACGCGGCCGCCGCGGCCGTCACCACACCGCACAGTCAGGTCTGTTTTTGTGCATGCGTGTGTGTTTGGCTGACGTTGTATGCATCTGGTAGCCGCACCCCTCTCCTCCCTGCCGCGCTCTTCTGTGCATGCATGCATGCATGCAACCTGTGCCTTGTGTCATCAGGTCGATAACCGCTCTTATTGTTGCCCACTCCGTCACTTGTTTCCTTCCTGCAGTGATTGATCCCACCCAGCTTGCCCAATACCAGCACCGTCTCAACGACCAGTGAGTCTTTGCGTGCTTGCAACAGCTGCCCCTGCTTTTGCGACCCATGCGCTGCCACACACGTCGTCCTCCTCTCGCTCACCCACCGCATGTGTATGTGCGTGCGTGTGTGTGCGTGTGTGTGTGTGTGTGTGCTTGTGCGTGTATGATGCGCCAGGCATGACAGGATTGAGGACTTGAAAGAGAAAGTCGACAGCATGCGTGCATCGCTGTCTTTGGATTAGATGAACACTTGGTGTGTGTGTGTGTGTGTGTCTGTCTGTCTGTCTGTGTGGTGACTTGTGTCTATTCACGTGTACCTCGATGGTTGTCGACGTTTCTTCTCCCCTTCCTCCCTCCCCCAACACACAAACACAAACACAAACACATTGTCCTTGTCTGTTTGTTCAGTGTTGTCCCCAACCAAATAACGCTCCCTTTTCAAACAAAAGGCAACGCAACTATACGCACATGCATGCATGTACGGCCTCCGACGTGTGCGTGCGACACCCGTAACACCACACCACGCTGCATTGCAGACCACTTGCCTTTCTTCTTGCCTCTCTTGCTTCTAGCTTCTTGTTGGCACCTTTCTTCTCCTCACACGACACACACACACACACACACACACACAAATACACAAACAAAGAAGCACAAAGCACACAAGCGAAAGCAAAAAAATCTGCCGCCGCATTTTTTCGCTTGTGCCAAAAACACACACACACGAGAAGAAGAAGAAGGAGAAGGCCCAATACAGACAACGCAAGCGCAAGCACACAACGCTTTTTGTTTGTGTGTCGCGCATCCCCCGAGCATACTACACCCACCCGCACCCACAACACTTGGAGTGTTGTTGTCTCGACACACGCACACGCGAACACAGCCAGCAACCACCTCCGTGGTGAAGAGATCCATTCGCCTGCGATTGCGTGACACGTTTGCCGACTGTTGTCTGCCCTCTTTGTGCACGTGACTGTCGACCAAGCCAACAGCCAGCCATGTACTCCGACGAGAACCCAGACGAAATGGTGGAGGACACCAGTGAGCATGCGCACCAGGAGCAGCCTGAGGATGAGGCCAGCCGCCAGCGCACCACCACCATGCGCGACGAGGACGGTGGCGAGCCCGCCACCACCGTTGACGTGAGCCAGTTCACGGCCAACAACAACGTCCAGGTGCGTGTACTGTTTTGCCGTAACTGTCTTGGTGTGGTGTTTGTTTGCATGGCTCGTCACGCGTGCACATGACACAGACGATCGATTTTGATTCGCTCGCTCCACGGTGTGTCGACTCACGCGCCTCTCGATCACACGGTGTGTGCACGTGTGCATCGACCCCAATGTGGTGCAGGTGTGCCAAGTCAACGCCACGGTGCCCAACTTGGACCCCACGCAGGAGGAGGTGCATGTCCTCTCCTATGTTGAGCCCACCGTCATTGGCACCGGTTCCTTTGGCGTCGTCTTCAAGGTGCATGCATGCAAGACCTGCTTGGTTGGCGTGTGTGTGTGTGTGGGGGGGGGGGTTCTCTTGTCCATGCGCGTGTCAATGGGCAACTATGCGCACATCCCATGTTACGGTCGTTTCCTCACGTTCGCGCGCACACACACACAACTCTTTGGCGAACGATTCCCGTCTGTGTTTCACTGCATGCCTTTTTGTTTGCGTGCAGGCGGTTCTGCAAGAGACCAACGAGGCCGTTGCCATCAAGAAAGTGCTTCAAGACCAGCGCTACAAGGTCGGTGCTCTATCGACAAAACACATTGGAGATAGGACAGCTGTTGTGCACAGCATCCAGAGATACAACACAAGGCCCAGCCGTTGTATTGGTGTTCGTTCTTTCTGCCGTCTCACCTCACCCCCTGCCTCTTCATGTGCCTGCTGGCCTTATACTTGACTGCCTGCCGCATCTTCGTGCATTAGAACCGCGAGCTGGACATTTTCCGCGAGGTGTCGCACGGCAACCTCCTCAAGCTCAAGTACTACTTCTTCACGTCCGGCCAGGGGGTGCGTTCTTCGGCCACGCTGCTTTGTACCTGTGTGTGTGTGTGTGTGTGTGTGTGTGTGTGTGTGTGTGTGTGTGTGTGTGTGTGTGTGTGTGTGTGTGTGTGTGTGTGTGTGTGATTGCCTGCCTGTGCCTCTCCCTTTCTGTCTGTGTTGATTGGGTACTGCTTGTCTGACCCAAGCATGCGTATTGACACGTGCGGGTGTGATGTGTGGCCCAACCTCGACCTCATGTGCTCTCTGCCGTAACATCTCCCTTGGGTGCATCTCCTCCGTTCAGCCCAACGAGGTTTACCTGAACCTCATCACGGACTTCTTTCCGGACACGCTGGCGAGATAAATGCATGTCGCAATGAGGACCTGCATGATTGCGACGAGGGCGTGAGATGTTCATCGCAAAATCCAACACTAAATACACCCACTGGGAGCACCTACACCACTGAACAGCAGCTGTGCACGCGCGCACAAACAGACACACATATACACACACACGCCCGCGGTTCCTGCATCACTGATGTCCTTGTCTCGAAATGCACACACAAACATACACAAACATACACACATGCACATCACATACATACACACACGCACCATTGGGGGGAAATAGATGGCTGGGTTCTTTCGCTGTGCCGCCAACTGCACGAGTGCATAGTGCTGCGCAGTGATGCACACAATGTCCTTGTGCAGCAACAAGCGGCACGCCAGCCGCACGTTCGCCAGCACAACCCTGTCCTCCTCGTCCAGCAGCATTGTGGAAGATTGGCCTAAGATTCGCAAGAATTTTCCGCAATCCAATCCTCCCTCTTCCTCCTCGCAAAACAAAAACAACGAACCAACAAGCAACCCACCAGCTCGTCCTCAGCACAGCACACCGCACTTGCCGGCTTACTGGCTTGCTTGCTTGCTGCGACCACGCACACACAACCCCCTGCTGCCTGCTGGTTGGTTGCACAGTGGAAGTGGAGTTGAGAAGACGGCCCTGCTTATAGAGGCGCAACAGAGGCGCGAGTGAATCCTGTGTAACCAAGTCCTGTTTCTCGTTTGAGGTCCAGCAAGCGGCTGGGAAACGACCAACCAGTACCAAACAAACCACCACGTGACGACCACAGCATCGCGTCACAATGGCAACGCGACCCACGGGCTTTGACAAAGCCAAAGAACGAGCCAAGCAGTGGCTCAAAGACCGGTTCCAGCGAACCGATCTCTTCACCTGCGAGCCTGGGTATGTCATGTGTGTGTGTGTGTGTATGTGTGTATATGTGTGTGTGCGTGTGTGCGTGTGTGCGTGTGTGCGTGTTGTATTGTGGGTGAGTGGGTACGTCACGCTTGTGTGTGTGTGTGTCGTGTGTGTGTGTGTGTGTGTCTGTCTGTGTGTGTGTCT